TAATTTTTCATAATAAAATGGTTTTTTAAAAGGCATTCACTGTATCCTTCGGATGGACTCAAGCTGACCTATACACGACCCTGGGCTCCTGGAGTGGAAGAGGCACCTTGATCGTGATGGGGCAGAGGCTGGGAGAGGTGGAGGGCAGCCTGGGAGGAGCCAGCTCCCAGGAGGAAGTCAGATGCCAGACCTGTTTTTGGGTCGTCCAGGTGCACAGGTGCTTTTGTTGAGCTGTTTGTAGTCAGTCCTGAATCAAGTAAACAAGAAACAGTTGGTCAAGTCTTCTTTGATGCTGAGCCTTGACTCCTTCCACAAATAAGCAGGCTGGCTTTTCCTACACAGTGACATTCTTCCTTTGCTGTTTTATGACCCAAACACGACCCATCGTATTTGTCAAACACCTTCTCATGGCGCATACTACTTAGTCGGCACCGCATTTGCCATTTCAGATTTCTCAGCACGATTTTGTTGTTTCTTATTCTTTTGGTGAATTCTGTGATCTCTTTGGTTTTATGTGAAAGTTCATTTTTCAAACAAAGCAATGGAACAAATGATTCCTGATCTCCTCTTAGTTTCTCTTACTTTGCATTTGTCCTTATCAAAATAGCCGACCAGAGGTGAGGAGCAGCCCTCCAATGTGCTTTTGTCCCTTTATCTCCTCTAACTGTAAGGCACCAGTACTGCCAAAGACTTTGCCAAATCTAAAGACCTGTGTTGAGCATCTTTTAATACAGACATCACTGCTAACCAAGAAGCCAGGCTTTGCAAGTGCTTGGTTAGCTCTCTGAATATAGTGTTACCCGTCAACTGAAATTCTGTCCCTTTCCTTTTACATAAGACTACATACCCAGTGGCCTCTTAGTGGTAATTTCATAAATTCTGGGGGAAGTGAATTGTACGTGATCAATATATCTGTAGATGCATCAGGGTTTTTGAGCTGTGAGGGACTTTAAGATGAATCAGGTACAGTTCTGTTCATGGAGGAAACATTCATTTTAACTGTGTAGTCAATTCTCAATTAACAAGGGTAATGGAGTGGAAGAAGGTCACTGATAATCAAAGATCATTGGGAATATAAGATTATAGTCAACACCCAATTTTCTGGGGGCTGATTAACTGGTTTATGGATTGATTGAGGTTAAGACACAGTGGACCCAAGGATGTCATCCCTCTGGTAATTAGCCAGCAGCTCCTTCCACCTGTCTTCCTCCCACTCTCTCCATCCTGGGGTGGAGAGGGGTTTTCCCTGGATCTGGATCAGGTAGACCAAGTTGACCTTGACTGGGTTGGTACCACGATGGTGGAGACCTCAGTCCTGGGAGCTAGGAAGAGGTGGTAGACCAAGCCCTATAGCAGTGGCTCCAAACACCAAGCATCAGAACCACCTGGGGGGCCTGTGACTGGACCCCAGCCCCAGTTTCTGATTGTGCAGGGCTCGAGTGGGACCCAGGAATCTCTTTTTCAAATGAGTGCTCAAGCACTGTTAATACTGCTGGTCTTTGAAAACCACCACTTTCTAAAACAAGTTTTTCATCCCAGGTTACACATTAGAATCCACTGGGGCATCTGTTTCATTACATGAAAGGCCCCGGATGTGGAACTCAGGCAAGGGTAGAGTTAAGGCTCCCCAGGCAGATCTAACATGCGTCCAGGATTGACACCATCTCTTCAGGTAATATTCCCATACCTCAGATGTCTGTACCAGGGCTCCTGACTTTTCCTTTTCTTTGCCCCACTGTGTATTTGTTGAATAATATTTTTCTTTTAAATTAAGGGGTTTTCTTGTAAATTTAATGTAAAAACAAACTATAGCTCCCCTTCCTGTGGGAAAACTAGATTCACGGGACATAACTCCAAACACAAATACATTATTGGTTACCATTTCTAAGTTCTCAACTGGCGCCATCTTGTATCCCAACATTCTTTGGGAGTCTTCTCTGGAACTGTGCTTTTCCGTCTCCTCTCTATCACAAAGGTGAAAAAATGCACTCTGTGTTCTTCCACTCTCACTGGCCAGGGAGGGCTGTGCTAATTCTGAGCACAATTATCTTCTTCCAACAAGACAAATGGGTATGAATGCAAGTGAGAGTGACTGTGTTATAGAATAACCCCGAAGAGGTGATAATATTTACTTTTTAAAAAGTAACTGGTCAGTAGGAGAATATACACATTGTGATATAGCCAAAAACAAACAAACAAAAAAGCCCAGAATACCACACAGCAATGAAAAGGAGCAAACAATTGACTGAAACACCAATACAGATGAATCTCAGAAATATTGTGTTGAATTAAAACAGATGAGGAGGACTCTGGGGAAGGGACAGAGAGATTGAGTGGAGGGACTGTGGGGTAAAGGGATGTCCATAGGAGTTGGAGTGACATGAATGTGTGCACTTGTCTGAATTCATAGAATGGTGCCCTAAGATATGTGCATTTCATCATACGTTCAAAGGGAGGGAGAAAGAATGCTACACAACACTGTTCCCCAGCTGGTGAGATGCATGTGTGTGGTGCTGAGTGCACTGCTATTTGCATCTTACTTTGGAAGGCATCAAAAAATAAACTGAGCCAGGCATGGTGGCTCACACCTATAATCCTAGCTACTTGGGAGACTTAGATGGGGAGGATCATAGTTCCAGGTCAGCCCAGGCAAATAAGTTAATGAGACCCCCATCTCAACAGAAAAAGCTGGGTGTGGTGGTGTGCACTTGTCATCCCAGCTATGGTGGGACGCCTAAGATAGGAGAATCATTGTCCAAAAGACTCAAAAAGTGAGACCTTATTTCCAAAATAACTAGAACAAAAAGAGCTGGTGGAGTGGCTCAAGTGGTAGAGCAGCTCAAGTTGTAGAACGCCTGCCTAGCAAGCACAAGGCCCCGAGTTCAAACCCCAGTGCCATCAATAATGATAACAACAACAACAATGTGGATTGATGAATGAATAGAAGGGTAGATTTTTCAACAAAATAAATATAATAAAATTGAATTGGAGTTTAGGAGGTGGACATCCAATATTCACTTTAAAATGCTTAGACCTAGCTGTATGTTTGAAGATCTTTCATAATAAAGGTTGGGGGTGCGTAGAATGACACATACATCAGACCCACATGCCTGAGCTCTTTAGCATTGGCCACCCCAGCGGTCTTGCTAGCAATGACTGCTGGCAGCAGTTAGATGGGTAGAGGGTGGCAGCAGCACAGGGTGAGGTCACACATGAAGGGCTGCTGTGCTCGGGGGAGAAAGGTGAGTCTGTGTCCCTGCTGCTGGGCTCTCTGCAGGAGAGAAGGCCAAGGGCCTGTCCTTCCATCACCTGTGCTGTGTCCTAGCAGTACCCAGGGAAGGTCACCTGGGCAGTGAGCCCAGGAAGAGGAGCCTCACAGAAGCTGTGTTAAATGCGAGTTGCTAATACTTCTCAGACTTTGCCACAGAGAAGGTGCTTCCCAAGCTTCTCAAATAACCAGGACACCAAAACATGCTAGCCCTGGTGTCCCATGGCTACCCTGACCCCAGGGAATGTTGGGGCTGTAGGTTTAGGGGTATGAACTAACTGTCCTGGTGATTAGGCAGTTTACAGGGTAGGAATGACCTTCTCAGGCATGGTTGGGAACTCTTGCGCATTTTGGGAACCCCACAGCAGCAACCAGGGACCTGAGGCACCACTCTGAACCACAGAGTCCTTCCTGCCCTCAGCATATCCACACAGCAGACCCACGGCACACCTCCACTACACATCCACTGCACACCTCTGTTGTATACCTCCACGGAACACCTGCATGCCCACAGCAAACCCCCTCAACTGCACATTCTTGTGGCACACCTGCACAACAAAATGTCCACAACACATAGTGTGATGTAGTCTTCCTCTATCATCCACCCTCACCCTCCTCACATTCACAGAAACCCTCCCCTGTGACACCACAGAGACCCATGGTCCATCACACCCCTCAAGGCAGACTTGCACAACACCCCCAACACCACAGGCTCTTGTATGGCACCCTCTTAATGGCACACACTCTCAATATGGCCAAAGCATGCTCCCCACCGCACATCTCAGGAGCACCCCCTGGGCAACCCGGAGGGCTCCCCCCCTCCCCTGAGGCCAAGCTAGCCTGCTTTTCTGTTGTCCTTACCTGTGCACAGATTTGAGATGCATGGGAAGAAGAACCATTTACTCTTGAGAGAAGAATTACGATTTATGTCTAAGGTTAGTTAAAATACCAGTTACATTTATTGTTTCCTGCAGAACTGAATGAGCCCATGGCGAGTACCATAGAGCTTGGGGTTCAGGTGGGGGCCAATTGGCCTTCTTCAGGCTTCTGGTGGTTTCTGCACCTCCAGAGGCAGTGGGAGCGAATGCCCTTCTTGGTTCATGGGAGTTTGTACTTCCCTTTGTTTCCTGGTACTATGTTTTTGGACTGCGCCTCCAGCTTAAGTGTTCCAGTTAAAAACAAGATGATAGTCAATTTCTGCACAGTGTTTGTACAGATCAAAGATGACACATGAGACAGTGTACTTATGGACACAGAATAGAATTCAAAAACCTAAAGTGCCTACTACATAGCACACTAACTTTTACCTATTGTTGTTATTACTATTATTATTAATTTATTAGGATCATGATTTGTTATTGTCCTCCACAGAGTTTAAAATACAAAAACATAATATTTGGAGTCCCTGTAGCTGCAATAATATATGATTTTTTGCTTTTACTACAGATGGCATTTTGAACACTGAAGTAGCTGCTTATTTTTTTCATGTCTTTGAGAGCAGGGACTGTATGGGTCACACCTCTGTCCCCAGGACTGAGCATAGTACACACAGAGAAAGTTAGGGATTTGGACAGTCAGTGCAATGGCACAGTTTCTTGATGAGCAAGTCATCTCAGTAACAGCATCATTCAGCTCATCCAAGCTGTACTTTCAAAGCAAAGCCTTCAACAGCACCTTCAGAGCTATAGTCATTATTGTCATTTACATACTCGTGTCAATTAATGTCATGTACCCATTAAATGGGACATAGAGCTGCCCGTTGGTCTGCAACTCTGATGGTAGAATCCTCTTCTAGTCAGTGACCTCAGGTTATCACTTCCTGACCATTACCAAGGCTTGTCCTCAACCCCCTCCACAGCCAGGCCCTCCAGCTATGGCCCTGCCCTGGTCTTGTTTAAGCACAGTCATGATGCCAGTTCGCAGGACTGGATTCCAGTTGGAATGTGACAAGCATTGCAGTTGCTTTCATGCATCTGAGCTAATGACATCTCCATCTTCTGAATTCCTCATAGAGGCAGAAAAAAAAAGCAAGAACTAGTGCCCAAGCATGCCAGTGACCTGCTCTTCACCTAAAGCAGCCCAATTCTGCCACCAGTTGAGCTTCTTCTGACTTTTTGCAGTCTGGGCCAGGTATCACAGCATGCCAGTGTGCCCCTCCAGAAAGCCCTCTATCTAACATAGCTCATAGCTCCCATTTCATTTATCAGGCTCTTGGTATGTTATTGCTAGGGGCAAAAAAATGCGTTGGTGTTACTTCTTCCCTCCCTCTGCTGCTCGGGCACTTTAGTAATTTTAAAAGTGCTGTTTCTCCTTCTTGTCTAGAGAAGTGAAAATAATTTTAATAGAAAATGGGTAATTTGCAGCTACAATGCCAGGCTGGTAATCAAAAACTTATAAATGAAAACATGAGCATATGTTTATCACTTTTGGAAATTAGAATGTAATTCAAATAGCTGTGGCCTCAAAGAGCAGCCATTATGGAAGGGAAAGCAGGCTTGGTTCTTAGTTGGAGACCTGCCTGCTAATGAGGTTTTTATGTTGCTTTTGCCTCAGGAGCTGTCCCAAGGTGGAGGAGGGTCTCAGCTGTTCAGGGGACCCTCAGGTAATCGCTTGCAGATGAATCATTCCCCTGCTGGCAACCACCACAGTCAAGGTCAAGTTCATCTTTGTCAACAGCAAGCCCAGGGTTCCTACCAACCTGGCCCACAGCCATTCTTCCCACCTTAATGACTCTGTGGGCCCTCTTACTGCTGTACGGTGCACCATGGCCTTTCACTTTCCCAGGTGTTTGCAAACACCAGGAATGTTTTTCTCTCTTCAATTTATTTATCTGTCTAATTCTTATTCATCCTTCTGAACTCTAAAGACCTATCACTTCCTCCTGGCTCCCCCTCCTTCAGCCTGTCTAGGCTGAGGGCATCCACACTCTGTTGCCATTTGTACTGGCTCTTCCAGCCCTGGGTTGTTATGGTCAGTTGGTCTTTCTTGTGCTCCACCACCTCAGACAGGTAAGCCTCTATGCAGGAATGCAGTAGCTTGCTCACAGGCTTGGGCTCCAGACTGGGGACAGAAGGGATGAGCTGAGGTTTGTATTCAGGAGAGGCTACCCTGAGGAGTGGGAAGCAAGTGAGGCAAGTGAGGGTCTGGCCCAGGACTTATCAGGACTTATGAGGGAATGGAGAGGAGGGGAGGTCACAGGGACATCCAGGAAGGGGATTGTACAGGATTTGGTGATGGATGCATCCAGAGGCTGGTGGGAGCGGAAGGAAAAGGAACCATAATGGCCCAGGCAGCTGACTGGGCGATGGTGCTGTTCCCTGTGGGAACATGGAGGACATGGTGGGGATGCTCTGAGGCATGGATCAGTCCAAGTCTAGGGAAGCAGGAGAAGGAAAGGGAGAAGCAAGTGGATCCAGGCTAGATGTGTCAAGGAAAGGGGACCTCATTTATTCAGCAAGCATTTATTAAGCACCTTTTGTGTACCAGTTTGAAAGCCAGGGATGTTAAGAACAAGAGGTTTGGTTTTAGATGCATACAGAGGGCCAACCTCAGAGGTCTTAGATGTACTGAGGTGGAAAGGCCCAGGGTGTCCACTTCACGGTGCCATCAGCAAGGTTATTAGTGTGGGACCAGGAGTCACTCATGGAAAACCAAGGCATCTTGGCAGGTTAGGTTTCAGAAGGTGACAAACGAGGGGTGGCCAGCATGCTAGGATCTAGACAAAGAAGCCAGAAACGTCATATGAAGTGTGGTAGGTAAGAGAGCTGAGGGAGCATTCAGGCCACAAGGAGGACTCTCACAGGGACATGGACACAGGGAGAAAAAGCTGGTGTCCTAAAGTATAAATTGTCTTATTGCTCCCAGGACTGATTTAGGAAAATGGGAACCAAGGACCTGCTTGATAAATGAACTTTTTGATTGTCCAGAAAATGCTGCCTTCAGTAAAGCACCAGTGGCTCACACCTGTAATCCTAGCTACTCAGGAGGCAGAGATCAGGAGGATCAAGGTTCGAAGCCAGCCTGGGCAAATAGTTCACAAGACCCTATTTGGAAAAATCCCATCACAAAAAAGGGCTGGTGGAGTGACTCAAGGTATAGGCCCTGAGTTCAAACAGCAAAACAAAACAAAACAAAACAAAACTGGCTTCAGCTCCCATAACTGTTTTATTACTTCAAATTTCTATTATTTTTTAATTGGACAGTTTTTAAAATCATGTTTCTTTTTTATAATCATTACCCTTTTGTTACTGTATGACACACTGAGAGATGTCAGATGTTTTGCACTTGAATTTAAATAATAAACACCCAGAGTCTTATTTTATTTGTAGTATGACCTCATCGGGGCCATTTAATCTAAACAAGTATTTTTTCTTTTATAAGATGGAGTAGACATAGAAAACGACACCATTAAAGTGACATTTATAAAGCAAGGATTCCTTGAATTTCTGGCATTCTCCCGTTTCTGTCTTTTACATTTGTCTTTAACATTTGGACTCCACTGTTTCAACAGAATGGGAGTCAGACACTTTTCATGAAGCTTATGTTGCATTGTGAGTCTTTTTAAATCTCCTCTTAAGCAAACATGCATCTCTGCATAAGCACATCAAGCCTGGGTTTCTCTCAGCTTTTGTCCTCGGACTTGTAATTACCATGAACTCTGTCTGCCTTCTGAGACTCAGTGCTTCGTTTGGTTCTACATTGACTCCCTCTAGTCTCTCTGGAGGGAGAGAAGGGGTAGAGGATTATTGGATCTCGAGCCTCTCTCCTAGGGAAAGAAGCTGCAGGGCATCTGTTTGCTTTTGCTTTCAAAATTAAAGTGGATTTAATTTGGTTTTGAGAGTTTTGCAATTTCACTCAAACATTGTACGGTTGGGAACCTAGGAGTGGATAAAGTGATAAAGTCCCCACGAGGGCCTCTCAGGCCCAGGAATAAGTGGGAAGAGCTGTTACCTCCTGCAGGCTGCCTTGTTGACACACAGGTCCTGAGAGGCAGGACTGTGAAGCCCAGAGGGGCCGGGGAACCTGCAGGGTGGACTCAAACACCAGCCCATTCTTTCTCACCATGCAACCTTGAGCAAACTGTCACTTCTGAGTCCCAGTTTCCTGGTCTGCAAAGTAGAGGAATAGCACCTAACTTAAATAGCGTGTACAGCAATGGGCTGCAGTGCCCTTTACACAGTGTCCCTTACACATTGTGAAGTTCAACTGCTCACACTACAGCTGTGCTCACCTCGTCCACCCAGGCTAGTGACCTCACTTCTGGATCCTCTTACATTTTGTGGGTTCCCTGATGCTCACACCTCACTGGTTCATGGCTCTTCCACCAGCTCAGGCTACCTCAGGGCTGTGATGTGCTGAGTCTTCTTGGGCACCCAGTCCTGTGCTGGGCATTGGGGCTCAGGGTGTACCCCAGGGCCAAAGGCTTCCGCCCAGCATCACCTCCAGCCTGATCTTCCAGGGCTCTTGGTGAGGACCTAGAACATTCTCTGTCACACTTGAACTAGTGAGGGCTGGACATAGCAAGAAGAGGACCCCAGAGGCAACCTTTTGTGAGGAAAGGAGCATGTGAGTCTCTGTCTCCCTCCATATGGGGGACAGGGGAGTGGCAGTCAGAGAAGGGGAACAGGCACGAGCTTAGGTGAGAGACACTGTGATAAGCCATTAGGAAAGCAGGATGGGGTAAGTTAGGGAGAGATTAAGGAAGGCCATTTTGCACCCTTGCCTACAGCCTAGGACCCTGTAGCCAGGGTGGACTCTGCCCTCAGACAAACAGAGCCTCGACTACACCCACAAGCGTGGGCCACCTTAATCCCAGCAGCTGCCTTGGAGATGCACCCATGGTTTTCAGGAGCCTGAGTCTCGTAATTTCTGGCGGAGAAGCAGTTCGAAGCCATTGGCAGAAGGTCAGGGTACCATCTGCAGATAAAGTGCCACATGTTATTGGCTTCCACTGTCTTAATATCACGGATATTAGGCAGACTTCCTCTCAGAATAACCTCTGGCTTTTGAATTATTTGACATGGATATATGTGGGATTGTTGGTGGAGTTTTTAATCTGTTTTGTTTTCATTTTTCCTTCAGATAATTTGGAAACATACTTTCTGGAGCTAAGACCTAATACAGGAACTATGATGTAAAAAACTGAGGTCTGTTACTTTTTAAAAATTTTTTGAGATAGTGGAGGTTTGAACTCAGGGCCTTGTGCTTGCTAGGCAGGTGCTCTACCAGTCCTTTCTGCGTTGGTTATTTCTGAGATAGGGTCTCGATTTACACCTGGGCCAGCCTGGAATTGCAATCCTTGTATGTGTGCTTTCCCATGTAGCTTTTAAGGCAATCCACTACCATGCCCAGCCATTGGTTGAGATGGGGTCTTGTGAACCTTTTACCTTGAACTGCAATCCTCCCAATCTCTGCTGCCCACGTAGCTAGGTTTATAGGCTTGTGTCACCACAGCCAGTCTTGAAAAAAAATTAGGACTTAAACTCGAAAGTGGAAACCATTTGGTGGGTGCCATTATTTAGTTTCTAACTCATGAGTTTTTGTGTCTCAAATATTTTATGCTGTGTGGCATAAAACTGTCAAAGTGTTTATATACTTCCTACAAAAATCATAGTTAAGGTTTCATGACCACTTCTTAGTTTTTAAAATGTTTTCCTTTATACTAGAAGACTCATGTTGGATTAAACCCAAAAGTTATTTTAAATAATCACTTCAGAGATATCTTTTTATTTTTTTAATTTATAAAAGAATGTAGTGATTTTCCCTGGTTATGTCTTGGATAGCACTGTCGAAAAGAAAATTCACATCTTCCCTTTTGTAAGTGAAGTTATGAAATCATCCCTGAAGGGTCTTGGAAATAAGATAGATACTTCTCCCTTGGAGCCTTGTCAGCGACTTCTGCCTCAAGGAAAGGAAATGGATTAGAGAATTGCTCTGGGTCCTTTGAACCTTACAGTTCTCTGAATTTATTCCTGACATAGAAGGGATCTTTTGCATCTTCCACGCTTGGCCCCAGGTGTCGATCTCTCCTTCGGCCTGGGATGAGGCTGTGTGTAATGACGCAGTGCTTAGTCCCTACACATCTCCACACGGAAGTGCTCGCTTTATAAGGCGACACCCTAGCTCTGTTATTAACTTACCACATAACCTCAGCTAACCAACGTTGCCTCAGTTTCTTCAACTGGAAGATGGGTGGGGCTTGGTCAGATGTTCACATTCTACAAATGGAAGAACAAAAGCAAGGGGTTAAGAATTTTGATAAAGCATCTGCCCTGCCAACATTCCTGTATTCTACTTATAGAAAAATCCAGCTGCCAATCTTGTGACAATTTGTTTAAAATATTGGAGACGAAACTCTGTCTTGAAATTTGTAATAAGGAATCAAAGTACTATGACTTCTTAAGATTTGCAGCAAATCCTGCAAAAACATACCTGGAAGATACTCTACACGATGTAGAAGAGAGGGGATTGGTTCCTTTCATTTTGCATAATAAAAATTTCACTAAGCCATCACTTAAGCAGTGTGTGTAGAAGCTTGTAGCTTTCAAGGCACTGTGTTCCTGTAGCATGTGTTGGAGATAGGGGTGGCCTGTGTCTCTCCTTTTATTTATCCAAAAGAGAATTGGACTTATAGTTTCTTTCTTTCTTTTGATGGGTTTGAACTCAGGCCCTTGTACTTGCTAGGCAGGCACTCTGCCACTTGAGCCATACCCCCAGCCATCTTTTCCTTAGCTGTTTTACAAATAGGGTCTTTCATTTATGCCTAGGCCAGCCTGGACTGCAGTCCTTCCATTTATGCCTCCCCTGTAGCTGGAAAGACAGGTGAACGCTACCACACCCAGTTCTATATTGGTCGAGATGGGGTCTTGCTAAATTTTTGCCCAGGCTAGCCTTGAGTCCTGATCTCTGCCTCCCAAATAGCTAGAATTACAGGCATGAGCCACTGCACCAGGCTGACTCATATTTTCTTGTTGTCTAGAAATCACATGTCTATGTTGGGGTCCTGAGACATAGCTTTTCATCTCTTCAGAGCCCCTGGATTGATACTGTGGGTCATTGCATATATCTCAACTGACTTTCTGCTGTGTAGCTGGTCAGTTTGCACGTGCATTAATCCAAACTAGTGTTTCAAGTGGGTAGGTAAGCGGGCTCTGACCCGCAGGCTCTCCCTGTGTGTGTAGTGGAGAACTGCGTACTTTGGGGTGTGTGCTGAGGAGTGAGTCCAGGAGTGTCCTTGTCAAAGCAGTAGCACCTCCCATCCTGGCGGCAACTCAAAGCCACAGAGAGCTGAGCACAATGGTGAACCCCCTGGGGAGTGTTGGCTGACAGCAGGAAAACCACCTTCCCAGGTGAAACCACCTTTAGAAAGATCCTCCTAGAGAATTTCACAGGAGGAAGTGCTTAGAAGACGAGGTTCCCCTTGACTTTGGCGTGAAACTGCTGAGTACAGAATAGGAACTTTGTTCCTCTCCTGAGGAAGAGACAAAAGATCTGCTTGCTTGGGTCTTCTGGCTGCTGATGGTATGTCCTTTTATTTCTTTTTCTTTTTAAAGTAAAAACCTGGCTGTGCTACCAGAGAGCTTGGTATAAATGCCAGGTGCTCTGTCTGAACTTGGCCAATTAGATGATTCCAGAAACCTCAAGAACACACAGGCATTTCAAGACCTTGCTGGGCACATAGTTACCAGGGGGCTCTGCTGTCACCAGACACCATGCCAGACAAAGTCCTCCTAGTGTACTTTTATTTCATTTCCATCTTTTTGTTTCTTAAAATTACAGAAAGAGGGGATGCGTTTCAAGACCCCCACTGGCTGCCTAAAACTAAAGGTAGTACCGAACCCGAGAATTCAGTGTCTTTTCCTTCTTAGCACTTAGCTGCCGTGGCCATAACTTTTGCGGTTTGAGATGCAACAGTGAAACTACCAGAAATTTCTTTTTCCTTCACAATTTTACGGAGAGGATTTGTTCTTATCATAGGCTTTGGCAACTGCAGCATAGGACTTTTTTCTTTCCTTATTAAGTTGAGGGTTTTCACCCTTTCACTTAACGGAAGCAATTTCAGCTTTCTTTGGCAGATCTGAGGTGCCAGCATGGCTCCTCATACAGTTTGGAGCCATAAAATACAGGTTACTTGAGCACAAGCACTGTGATACCAGCCAACATGGAAACCAGGATGGCTACTGAGTGACTAACGGGTGGGTAGCACACACACCATGGACATGCTGGGCAGAGGGATGATTCATGCTGTGGGCAGGATGGACCTTCACTGTACTCAGAACAGCATGAAGTTTAAAGTTTATGAATTGTTTTATAAAGTTTGTAATGAAATTTCTGGAAGTTTTCATTTAATAGTTTCAGACTGAGGTTGATTGCACGTCGTAACTATAACCAGAAGGCAAACTATGTACATAATTATGGAAAAAGTTAACACTAATACTGTCTGGGACTTGCGTTTCTTTACTCAGTATATTTACTTAGTAATATTCTCCTATATCAGGATATTAGATCTACATCACCCTTTTTTTTTTTTTTGCATCCTTGGGACTTGAACTCCAGGCCTCCCACTTGCTAGGCAGGCACTCTTACTGCTCTCTGCCAGCCATTTTCTGTGATGGGTTTTTTCGAGCTAGAGTCTCACAAATTATTTGCCTGGATTGGTCTTGAACCTTGATCCTCCTGATCTCTGCCTCCCAAGGAGCTAGGTTTACAGGTGCGAGCCACTGGTGCCCAGCGGCGATGTCACTCTCTTGAATAGCTGCGTAGTATCACACGGAATTTTAGCACCCTCCTGTTGGTAGACATTTGAATCTTTAACTTTTCATTACTGATGCTAAACCTTCAGAGAACAGCCCGCAAACATATGCTTATAGACATCTGTCTGCATTTATTGATAATTATTCTGCATTTGTTTGAAGATGTGCTTCCCTAACATGCACACACACACACACACGTGTACACACATGTACACACCCCTACACCTATGCAGATACCGCTGAGCTTGGAGTTAATTTTTGGGAAGTTTCCTAAATCCATGGTGTCCTCTTGCCCCTTCATACTTAACCGATCAGATGTTAACTTTAAGAACCAAATATCTTTTCTTCCTGCCCCCTGCCTCCTGCTTGTGGAGGGGCATTGTCCAGAGCTGGGAGTTGGTTACCTGTCTTTCTTAACCTGTGTAAGCATTCAACCCTTGTCTGTCTCACTTACTGGAGGCCAGAAGCTGAATTCTGTCAAATACCACCAAAGAATGTAGGGCATTTGGAATAACTGTTGTACAAACTGAAACTTCTCCCTCCAAGACCTCTGTGAGTGTCTCAGTTTCCTCTGGCTGCTGTAACAAATTCCTAGCTTAAAACATCAGAACTTTATTTTTGCATAGTTCTAGAAGCCAGAGGTCTGAAATCAGTATCCACTAGTCAACATCAAAGTGTCAGCAAGGCCACATTTCCTTCAGAAGCTCTAGAGGGAATCTGTTTGTGGTCTATCCCAGCTTCTAGTGGCTGCCAACATTCCTTGGCTCGTGGCCACATCACTGCAGTCTTCAAGGTCAGCATCTACAAGTTTCACCGTTTCAGCTTCACGTGGCCTTTGCATGTGCCAAATCTCCCTTTGCCTTCCTCTTATAAAGAAACACGTGCTTGCATTTCACACGACCAGCTCACAGTCTTTAACTTAATCTCACCTGCAAAGACCTTCTCTCCAGATAAAGTAGCATTTACAGGTTCTAGCCATTAGGCCCTGCCGATATCTGTGTCACGGAGACGTTATTCAACCTACTATGTGAGTTTTTCTTTTTAACCTCCATTCCAGTATATTTTAACTTACTGCTGGGACATGCTTGATCTTTCTTTTCAACTCTTGGAAGAATGTCTTTTCATAAAGGTCATTATTTTGCTTTGTGCACTGAAAAACTGACTTCAAAGGTAAGGTGTCAGAGTCAAGGTCAGACAGAAAAATCTCTGACAAGCTCCTTAGTCCAAAGACTGCAGGGCATGAACTGCACACCCAACTGCATTATGCTGTCTTCTCTTTTTAATTTAGAAATATTTACCTGCATGATAGTTGCACACCCAAGCTAGAAGAAACTAGAAAGAAGCAGTGTGTTCGACCTTCCTTCTTTGTAGATAAAACTACACTCAAACTGTGA